GATTCCTATCATCGAGCTGTTATGTAAACATTTTATTATGAATTATTATTAAAAGAATTTTAATTAAGGCCTGTAACCTTCTCTTTCATGTACAACAATTAGTCCAGTAATCTGAAGAAGATACTGCAAGGAATTATGGACTACTATCATGAGGTATGGAAAAAACATCATTTTTTTGGTTGTTGTTCTAACCATTAAACTTTGATTGTTGTCCTTCTACACCTGGGTGTTTTATTTTCTTGGCAAAGAAATTTATTTGAAGGACTTTCCTGGCAGAAAGGAAATGAGAATTAACTGGTTAAGTGGGAGGTATGAGTGAATGTAATATTAATTTGAGTAGGTGTATTTTAGATAAAGCTCTTCGAGTATAATCTGGAAACCATATCTCTATCATTGCCCAGGTAAGTGTCACAAGGACCAAGCTGCAGAATCCTGTTGGCTTTTGTGCATGGATTCATATTTGCTCTTGGCTAGTGAAGTTTTAATCCTTTTGTACACAACTGATTCAGCAAGCCTAATCTAGGTTTTATGGTACTCACTTGGAAGCTGGGAGAGAAGTTACAAATCCTCCTGGATGTAGAAAGGATGACAGTTCATTCTCTCATGCTGTCTGAGTGTGGTAGCTATAAATGAGTGCTGTATATTGAGGTTTTTTTAAACAAATGCTGTGTTTTGTATGGAGCTTGATTGCAGTAATGTAATGGGTATGGTACAGAAAAACTTACCAGATCATCTTACGGCTTCCTGCTCTCACCTGGGCTTAGTTGTGATACAAAGTGCCAAGCCTTCCTGAATAGCCAGGACTGAGGCTCTCTGACAAGGCCAGAAGTAGAACTTCTTTAGGTTTATGAGGAATATATTTCTAAGAACTAGGGAGCAATTGAATTTGGAAGCATTTTTAATTCCTTTTTTTAATTGGTAGAATAAACTAATTCTTTCATATTTGAGGTTTAGCCCAAGAACTTTAACTTCCTGCTGTCACTTTTCCCTGTATAAGTGGTCACTTAGCTAAACCCCCAGTTAACAGACTTTCAAAACATGTGGTTTTGCCAGAAAAAATTTATAGAACTCTTATAAGTGCATAACTTTGTTTCACTAAATAATTGCTAGGTGGTTGGCATGTATATTTTTTAATGCTGTCTACTTTAGATTAAATTTAGGCCTATTCAGAGAAACAGCTGAGGTGTCAAATATGGTAAAGGTTATTGGCTAGCAGTGGATTGAATACCCCATTCCCCAAAACATATCCATGCTGAGGGATGGAAACAAACATTTGGAATGGTCTTTGGTGGTGCTGGAGAGGCACTGTGTATGCCATCTGTGTTTCATGTATGAAGCCCTGTAACAAATGAGTTAAGAACATCTGCTTTATCTAGGCCTCTTCAGATTTCCTAATCTGATACTGTTATCTGTGTACTCTTCCATAAGCAAATATCTTTAGTGTGTCTCCACGCTTAATGTTTTAAAATCTTTCCATAAGGTTTATAGTAACAAACTTATTAATAGACCATTTTCTCTATCTGGTTTACTGAGTCCAGGTTTCTTACATGATACCAGATTTTTATATACAGAAGTGGGAGTCTACTTTCTCTCTTCTATTATTTTTTGCTTTTATTTTTTACTTTCTCCAGTTCTTAGGTCAACAGATTTCAGAAGAGCTTATTCCAGACTTAAACCAAATATCTGAGAACTCAGATCCCACTGAACTGGGCAGGCTTCTGCAGCTTATTTTAGGCTGTGCAGTCAACTGTGAAAGGAAGCAAGGTATGCACTATCCTAACCTGTTCAACAAACAGCAAACTGCCTCGGGTGATTGCTAAGGTGGATGAGATTTTCTTATGTATTAAAAAGTCTCTGTTGTTAATCTGTTACGTGCCTATTCTGAAATTGGAGTTCACTTAAATGCAGAAAATACCTGGGGAAAGTTCTGCAAATAAAGCTCAAAACTTCGCTCAGGGTAGGTTTAAAAAAAAAAAAGTCTGAAGTGTGTATGGATTATTCATATTTGTTAAAATATATACAAAGACCTAAAACTTTCAAATGCCAATCAAATCAAATTAAAAACTTGTATTGGAAACTCTTGTTTGTCTGTAGAAGTTCAAGACTGAATTAGTTGAGTTTTCAGACTGCTTAATGTTCTAGTGGCTAAGGAATCCTCAGCACGATTCTGTTAGTAACAGAAGTGTGACTCCTATGTAGTCTGAAAAGACCTCATCAAAGAGTGTTTGGGAAGTAAGCTGTCAGGCTGCACTGGGAATGAAGATGCCAGCAATTACCTTTTTCCATTAAGTTTTATTTATTAAGTCAATTGCAGGCTTGCTGACTCTTTGGAAAAGCTTATGCATATACATACATAGATGAATGTATGAAAAAAGAACCATGTAAATACAGATGGCTTCAAACCTCCTTGCTCTACTATGCATAGTATTAATTTGTTAATTTAAGAAATTATAATCTCGTTTATCTACCATATTACTGAATAATAGTATTGTTGGTTAACACTGGTGCTCTGCGTTAAATGAGCACTACCTATTTTGAAGAAGCTTTATAGAGAATAGTTTCTCCTGGATCTCTCTGCAAATGGTATGTCATGTTACCTAAGCCATTAAAATGAACGTTGTCATGACTTGCTACAAATTGTTTTTCACAGAACACATACAAAATATCATGACCCTTGAAGAGTCTGTTCAACATGTTGTTATGACTGCCATTCAAGAGGTAAGTAATAAGTCATAGCCTACAACAGCAGTCAACATCTATTTGTCAATTTTCGTGAATTCTTTATCCTAGCAAAGGTCAGGGAAGAGTGTAAATACTTCCCTAAATTATCTGGAAGTGTCAGGATGAAGAGGTCCCAGACCCCAACCACGGGGTCTTGATTTTAGTCTTGTATGTCCAAACATATAACTTACAGAAACAAGAAATGCTTAAGATTTCCTGTTTCACACAAGAAATGTGTCTTGTTACCAACTATCCATTATACTGGAGTCAGTTTATGAAATCTCTGTCTCTGAAATTTCTGTCTCAATGCTGTAGTTAAGCTGATTATAACTGTTTGTGAGGCTACATTGTTCTCGCAGACCATTCCAGCATCTGATTTACAAACTCCCAGCTGCATCTTTTCTATTCTTGTCATGGTGTGCTCCTCCTGCACTTCTAATTTGTCGTTAGCTGGATCATTTTAGTGATCCAGCTCACGGCATAGCTCAACAGCCACTTGCATCTGTGAGCTTTGGGAGTGTGAAGCAGAGTGTGGAGGGAGGCAAAACCTAAGTGCTGACTTTGAAGAAAATACAGTGTGTAATTGCACCCTTATCAAGGTAACAGTGGAGTTGGCAGCAGGCTTTAAAACTTAGATTTACATTGACTGTATAGTCTTTAAAGCTGTAAATGTCCCATTCAGAGACATAAACTCCATAAAGCTCTTGTTCTTTGTATTCTGACTTATCAAACTTTCTTTCTGAAGAAGGTCTAGAAATAATAGTGTAATTCCTGAGTAAGAAGTAAAGCCCTGTAATTGCTGAGGAACATACTGTGTACACCTTTGTACTGGAGATCAGTGAGAGCTATGCTATGTTAATGTTTCCATTGCTTAATGGCAATTAATGTGACACATGGTCTGATAGCTATTAAATTAATTGAATGAAATCCCATCCTCCAGTTCACTGCATTTTAACTTGATTAGGGGTTGGCATGAACTTCAACAGATCACATCCAATAAGATGGATAACTTTTTTTGGGGGGGAGGTTGTGAAAGCTAGAAAAGTAATGTTATTCTAGACTTGTTTAAATCCTCTACCAACCATAAGGTGGGGTATTTTGTAATTAATAATCATCTGTTTTGATACATTGAAGGGATGCAAAAACATTTGGAAAATACAATTGCTACTCAGTGGACAGTGAATTTACAAATATTTAACCTCTAATTTGATCTTCTTTTTACTATGGCCTCTTTCTGTAGCTAATGAGCAAGGAAGTAACGGGTCCTTCCACGTGTGATGCATCAACTGACATGGAACAGCAGGTAACTGCCTAGTATTTGTTGCTGTTGTAGTTCAAGCCTGAACAATAAGTTGGTATCTTGCCATCCCTTAAGTAAAAAAGCATTGCACATAAAATGAAGTTGTCTTTATGTCTTTAAAAGTAGCTGCCCATAAAGGAGCACCAGCATTTCTATTCTAAGATGAAGAGTGATTGGTTTAACAGGCAGGGATTTTGAAATTATGACAACATGAATGTGCCTATATTTGGTTTTGTTATGCTTTTAGCTTAAGTTGTTGTGTTGAATCTGGATGTTACTGTGAGTTTCAATACTTCACTTAATACATGTAGTAGTCATTTAAAATGAAGGTAAAATGAACAGAGTACATATAGGTTTCTGTATCAATGTGCGCGCCTAAAATCCTTCTTAAGCAATTGTACACACAGTTGAGATGATTTGGAAACTAGAACTGTGAGTACTTTGGGTATGGACCAGAATGATTGACTATCTTATTTTTTAAAAGCTTAAAAAAGCTTTGGAAGATCTTCAGGAAGCATTAGCAGAAAAAGAAGAGTTGGCACAAAGATGTCAAGAGCTGGATTTACAGGTAAGAAACAGCAAGTTGCTTTTTTCTTTAATATGTAGTGGTGTTGCTGTTAAGATGCAGAAATTCTGAAGGGCAAAGTAAATTTTGCATTTGTTAAGTTATATGAGAATTCATATCTGTTTATGGGGGGAAAAACAACCCTTCTGTACTCCTAAATGTAATTACTGGAAATAGTTTCATGACGGAAATGTAAACTGAGGTCCTCTGCCTGCTGTTGACTCAAAGGTTGTTTGGTCTGCTAGCTTTATGTTTACCCTTAGTAGCAGGTACCATCAAAGCAATGTCATAGTGGCTCTAAAAATTGCCTATTTCATTTGTAGTCACTGCTTCCTCTGGTCTTTTGAACTGTGTCCAAAACATCCAGTTCGTATAATCAGTCATTAGATTTAACCATAGGAAATTGATGCTGTTTTCAATGGGAGTTGATGATGGACTAAAATGTGAGATTTATTTAAAAGTTCCTAATTTTTTCCTCATACACAGTTGAAAGATGGAGGATATTTCAGGAATTAAAGAGAATGGAAACTAATAGATCCTTGTTAGAGTTTTCAAACCACACTGATAATAGCCCTACTTCATAACAATAAATAGGAACTTGCATTTCAATCCCCTTTTTAAAGAAAATCCATTTGTTAGCCCTAAGTTTTGACTTGATATTTCTTTTCCTTTTTTTTTTGAGGCAGTGGTAAGGCTTCCTAGTGTAAGCAGAGATCTAAAAATGCTTGTGAGCAGTATGGGCAGGAGAAAAGGTTTTCTTTTGAATGGGCAAGGGGCTTGATTTGACACTTGAATTGTTGTTACATTGTTGACAGATGATTGAGTTGTTAAACTTCAAAAAGTGTGTTCACTGTTCAAAAGCTGTCCTTTCTAGAGGTGCTGGGATAACAGTTTACTCACACTTTACTCTCCCATTAAGAGTCTTAGTATGTCGCACTAGAGAAGTCCCAGGCTTTCTCCTGTCTCCCACAAACTTCTCTCTTGAGGTTTCTCAATGATAAGTTATAAAGCCAGTTGCTCATAACATAGGTTGGGCCAGGTGAAGGCATGAAAGGTGTTTGAGGGAAAGGTATAAACACATGAGTTAATGACACCAGAGATTTTTAATACTGTGGTGTGTTTTAAACTATCTTTTTGTGTCGACCTTGACACCAATTCTATTATGTTGAAATAATAGAAAAGAAGAAGAGAAAGATAACAGAAAGGAACAGAGAAAAGATGAAGAACTTGCTCTGGGTTGTGCAGTAGGTTTTTTCTTTGTGATTGTTGTGCATGTTTAAAGAATGGCTGAACCTTGAACAGGAAGTATTATACTCAGTGAGGCTAAGATATGCCCTCTACACCTCTTAAGGTGTTTTGTGTGCATGTATGCAGTAAACACCTCTAAGGTGTTTTGTGTGCATGTATGCAGTAAAGTGACATCTGGTATGTAAAAAGGAATGAACCTAAAAGCCAGCACCTAATGAAGTGGGTTTGTTTTTTACATCTGTTTGACTGATAGGCTTTTGAATTATGATCATAAACAGTTTCTTAATATTGCATACTCTAGGTTATATCTGATGCTTAATCTAATAATGTCACCATGTTATGTTTTTATTTTATTGATTTGAAGCCGTAATATTGACTGACGCTTCTCATCTAAACTAATTCTTAATAAATTCACTTGTAAGGTCTCAGTCTTCCTTGATATTTTCCAAGAGTATAAGAAAGGTAGGTTTTCTTTATGATTCAGGAAAACATAACCCAAAAAGCATATTGTCCCTGTTTAAATGCCAGTTAACTAACACATGCTACATGCTCTTATGTTTGACAGGATGTTAAAATTAACACAGCAGCTTTCACTAGAAAAACTTTGAAGGTTCTATCCTCTTAATCCTTCCCCATTTTATGGCTGTTAATATACTTACTGTTCCAACAAAGTGTTGTATTCTCATTTGCTTAGCTGTGAACACTTTCAATATCAAACCTGTTTGTTGCAAACAAAATGCATGCTCTCTATGAAGCTGCCTAGGTTTTTTCTGTTGCGTGTGTGCTTACCAGCTTATGGCGCCTGAAACCGCTTCTTGCGCAACCATCCACTGCTGAGCGCACGGCAGTACTGTGGTAATGTGCTAGCCAGTGCCATCCTGCTTCTTATTGTTAAGCACAAGCAAGATGGAGAGTACCTTTACACCTATTTATATTTTATAATTACTTTTTGTATGGCGTCCGTGGTATCCTTTTTAATGAAAGTACCAGTTTCTCTCCATATCACGTTGTCCGCCTTTATCATGGTTTGTAACAAAAATTGTCGTCTTATTGTTTTTAGAGGTATTTTTTCTTTAGTGCTTCATAACTGTCATACACTAAAGCGTCTGTATGCTCAAGTATGCTGTGTGAATTACGTTCTAAAATCTCTAAACGCTCAGACCTTTTTCATAAACTAATTTGGTGATGTATTGCTGTCTTGCTTTAGCTCTTTCCAGTTGGACAGGTCTTACAGTGGTGATGCTGTTTTATCTGCACTAGGTGGCTGCCCTCCAGGATGAAAAAACCAGCTTGATGTCAGAAAATGAAATTATGAATGACAGGCTAGAGCAATTAGATGACTCTCTTGATGATCCAAATACTGTGGTTGCAAAAAAGTATTTTCATGCACAGTTGCAGCTGGAACAACTGCAAGAAGAAAACTTCAGGTATGAAGTAATTTGTCTCAGAAGTCTCTCACTTGAGATGTTAAATACATCCCGAGAATTTCTGGTCACTTTTAGGATTTTCCATCTCTGTTTCTTTTGTGATAAAAGCTTTCTGTATAAATATGTATAAACATATTTTAAAGACAGTCCCTACCTTTAAAAAGAAACCTTTTCTCGTTGTAGAAAATATTACTTTGTAATTGCCATATTGTAGCCATTTTACATGTCAAAAATAGGTGATGGAGGATAGAAAATGAGTGCCAAAGTGATTTGTGTGTAAATAAAACCAACCCATAACCCCTCAAACCCACCATATCTGTTTAATGTGCTGATTTCTTCTACATATTAGTCTTTCTCCGTGTGATCTGTAGGGGGGGATCACTTTTCATGCGATCCTTTGATACTGATACAGTAAATTTATAGAATCATAGAATAGTTAGG